TTCTCAACAGCTTTTCAGATTGAAAGAAGTGAAGACGACCTTACACTGGTTGCAGATATCAATGCTCATGTGACAAATCAGCGTGCTATATAATTCGTTTTACAGAACGGAAATATCACGTACGCCTTTGCGAAATAAAGTAATCCAGGAGGGATAAAGAAAGTCCTAAACAAACTTACAATAGGAAAAAGGCAATGTTCGCACTCTTGAAAAGTGCAGCTTTACCTACCGAGGCTCGTTGAATGAAGGAATGAATGCTCGCTTTATTTGTATATACGCACACAGTGTTGCTGAATTGTTATATGGACGCTTAGCAACCATACCTTAACAATTCCCGAGACCGTAAAGCAAAACACAATTGAACGTCGCTCTAAAGGTCAGTGGCCTACATAATTCAGTGGTCAGTGGCCTACATATTTCCTCCAGCATAGGTTGGTAAATGATGACATGATCAAGGGCATCTGCAAAGGAACCTTTCTAAAGACATATTATGAAACGGGAAAATTGAATGGTCGTTTAACCCTGCGATATCCAATTTAGATGAAATTTACTGCTCGTTTCTCTCATGATTTCTTCTTAGCCGGGGTTCCCCACTGTCTGGTCTGCAATCACGTTTTTCGAGAGACGCTAAACTCCGTAAAATTGAGCCGGAGCGCTTTGGTTTTGACATGTGTTACCACACGACATGAGCTACCCCAACAAAAAGACCTTTTTTGCCGAATAAGTTGCGTCCCCTTACATTGCCTGTTAGACAACTTCTGATCACTTTCGATTACCTCCATTTTTCCCTAAACATTTAAGAAGCTTCACGCCTAATTCCGTACAGCACTTCTCTTCTATTTGAATAATAATAATAATAATAATAATAATAATATAATAATAATAATAATAATAATAATAATAATAATAATAATAATAATAATAATAATAATAATAATAATAATAATAATAATAATAATAATAATAATAATAATAATAATAATAATAATAATAATAATAATAATAATAATAATAATAATAATAATAATAATAATAATAATAATAATAAAATCTGTGGTTTTATTTTTCGAAACCACGAAATGGTTATGAGAGCGCCGTAATGAAGGGCTCCGGAAGTTTTGACCCTCTGGTGTTCTTTACCGTGCACCTGAATCTAAATACACGGGCCTCCAGCATTTTCACCGCCTTTATATTTGCTATTTTGTGTCGAATTGTGGCTAAGAAGGCACAAGATACATTGAACTTTTGATGAATTAATCATCCTGAGTATATAATGCATTCAACGTTATTTTGCTGTGTACCATTGAATTTCGTGACTTTGCTGGAAGCACTGCTTTGTTCAACGTGCCCCTTTTCGAGGGGCATGCACAAGTGCACCTTTATTTTCCCCCCCAAAAAACAGGACCAAAATGAATTCATGGTGCATTCTAGCCTTCGGTTTCTTTCTATTTGTGCATAAACAGATCGTGCATGACTTCAGAAAGAAAATGTATTTTATTACGGTGTAATTAGGATTGATTACTATAACACACATCAGAGTATTGTGGCATTATTTTGTTCAAATAGTACAGTGCGTGTCCTTGAGATCAGGTTGCATAAGTTTTGCACACTTGCATACAATTTTTCATAGGGGGCATCTGAGAAGGTTAATCATCATTGCCTCCTTGCCTTTCTCTCAGTTTATTCTTTCTCTCTCTCTCTCTCTCTCATATCTGGCTTGCAAAAAAGCGTCACTTGCATGCAGCCATGAACCTCGGAAACATGTCACTGTGCGCTGTATTCAAATAGCACAGGTGGGCTCAAAGACGCACGAGCGGCAAGGTGAACGCGAAATCTACGGCAGGGTGTTTCTTACTGACTCTTGTAGCTTGAAATCGGGCCACTGAAATACAAAACAAACTGATGACTATGATGACGAAACACACAGAGTGGCAAGCTAGCAGCTTTGCATGTGACGTAGATACACCCTTAGTGAACACACTTTCGATTGCTGTCCTGTAGAATCAGCGAGTGTGGCCAGCTTCGCTTACACAGTCGACAAATAGAAACATCCGCTGTACAAAGCCCAAATGCCTACTCTGCGTACAGTTGCATGGGCGGAGTGCGTCAAAGGTTGCGACACACATCACTGACGATTCGTCAGTGACTCATAACACTGCGTCGGCCTGCGTGAAAGTGAACGGCACTGTACATTGTTTCGTGACAGACAGCTGGCGCCCTTGTTTGTTTGTTCGCGTCTTCACTTCGTCCCCGTCCTGTGAGTGCCACACCTATAGATAGCTTACACACGACGTCTTGGTGGCAGCTTCGTAACATACGGTTCGCCAACATAGCGGCCGTAACGTAACGGTAGCATAATCACATCGCGTTTATTCTGTTCCGATACGATAAAGACGCAGCCAGAACACTTTTCGCCTCGATGCGTCCAGAAACGAGGGAATTTTCACGCCATATAACGGTAACATTAACACGCGGTGCCACAAACCTTGCATATGTGAAGCGGGGCACCGGCATGGTGGTTTCTGTGACGTCAGTGCTAGCCATCTTTATTTCTGAAGCCTAACTGCCACATCGCGCGTCCTGTGGAAAGGCTTGAGTGGGACCCCACGCCCGACGTGGTAAGTTAGGGTGGCCTGCCTATATATCAAGACTCTTGTCAACAAAATACGACGCATATACACACACACACACACACACACACACACACACACACACACACACACACACACACACACACACACACACACACATATACACACACACACACACACACACACACACACACACACACACACACACACACACACACATATATATATATATATATATATATAGTGATGATGTAACAAAGGGTAGAGCCGTGCATTGTGAGGCAGTTCCTTTAGCTCTCAAGGATGACTTTGCACAAAATATACTCAGGGTTAGCAAGTGATGCTAAAATAAGTTTAAAGTCTCATGTTTACATATTGGTACATCGATTTGAAATTTAAGCGTGTATCTTTAAATAATTAACAATTTGTGTTTTCATAGATTGAATACCGACATATATTAACGGTGCAACGTGGTTGCCATGTGCGTGCAATTTTTACTTGCTAGTTTGGTCTTTACACAGGCCTAAATAATTTGCAGAGAGAATAGCGTAGTGGTCGGTCAAGAAATGTTGATGTTTTTCTAGCTGTGTTTTCGGTAAAGGCTGAAGTTCTGTATAAAAAGTGAGGCAGTGATGTTTGGGTGAATATGTATAGATAATACGCAATTGATTCCCATAAAAACTAAGAACAATGCCTACTGAAGTAACGTCTTGCCCACATGCATGCATGATAAAACGATTGACAACTATCAATTATTTCATTAGCACATGATATTTCTGTTGTTCTTCACGCTACAATTATACTTGAGCCTTCAAATTTTACTTTTCGAATGATAACCAGTACAGATCACTCTTGACTTTGAAAGGAATTTCAAGTTATACTTGAACGAGCAGACATATTTGACTATCATCACTGTGCAATTACTGTTGAGCAAGAATATGTAGAATTCTATCAACATTGCCACAAAGTGCACAAGTCAGAGAATGATTTATACATTTAAGCTTGTTGTTAGTTGCCAGTAATTATAATTTTTCAGAGCATTTTTAGAATGTGCGAAGTACAAAATTCTGATTTAAATAAAATGAGGTGTATATGATATCAGAAATGTGTCCTAACGAGATATATAGGCGTGTTTGTTGGATGAGAAAGGAGTTATCAATTTCAAGTCAAAGTGACAGTGCAGAAAACACCGCGGCGCACTTTAAGACGCATAAAAAGTACCTTAAGTGTCCGAAACCGTTCACCGATGTCTTTGTAAAGTGGGATTAGCAAATGGTGTACAAGCATCAAAATGCTACATGCTTCCGTAACAATTTTTGAATGACGCACGAACTTTCAGATATCTTTTAGAGACTAACATCGGCGAATCAAGTTAGGCGGATGCAGTGGATTCTCAGGTTGTCGGAACACAATCACCATCACGGTCAAACACTGAAAGCGATGCACTGAAATTAATCTTCTGCGATATTTCTCAAGCCTCGTTTCTCCAGAATGTTCGTTATTACGAATGATGCTCAATATGAAAAAAAAAAAACTACTTGCCCATCGTTCTTCGAAAGATTATCAGTTTGTCCCGAAGATTTTACCGCTTGAAATAATGTAACGAAAACGGCGACCTGTCAGCGACGCTGAAGAAAAAAAAGTGGACACTGAAAATGCTCCAACATGGAGTGCAGGCACGTGTTGATAAGAATTTTCCGATTTTTCGTCGTGCTTTAGGTGTTGATTCGAAAGTAACGGACACTGACACGCTAAAAAAAGAAAACCAATGCACTGGCAAATTCAAACGTTTATTTTTATTTTATTTCATTCGTTCTTCTCAAAATGTTACATGTCGAGTGAAGTGACGCCTAAACAAATGTTCTCGGGCTGCCTGACAAAGGCTCTACCACCCATTTACTGTTTAGAAGTTGTGCGAAAATGCTGAAGAAACTACTGAAATGAGAAGTGGACGCACTGAAGAGGGAAAAAGAAAGCTTGACAGCACCATTAGCGACAGATGATAACGCGCGCAGCAACTAATTGCACCACTTAATGTTTTACAAGCACCGTACAACACACGGAGTTCGTGGTCTTGCTTACGATATGAAGGTATACACAGGGCAGAAAGTATGTTTCAGGCCTTGTTTAAAAAGAGACGATAACACGCGTTGTTTCACACTAATTATAATTTACCGATGTTGATTCAAAGGAGTGAGTGCAAGGTATTTTAGTTGTTTAGTTCCGAACTTGATCCTGCGAAACTCGCAATTTTCTACCCCGTACAACTGAAGATTGGAACATTGCCAGACGACTAACGGCTGTAAAAGATTAACACGTTTTCGATTTGAAAAAACAGAAGTAAATGTTGCAAAGGGGCCCGAGTCAACGGGAGAAGAGAAACTGTGCAGCGCCGCACAACTCACTCACCGACTTGACGACTTCGACGTCGAGCAAGCAGCAACAGGCTGAGACGTCACCGGCGTCGACTGGTCGTTCTCCGATTCAACGCTGCTGCGCACACCGCCGGCGCGCCCGTCCGCGCTGGCTCTAAGCACAGCAGCGCGTGCATCGGATTCGGTGGCAGCGGCTCCCGTGTTAGAGTAGCAAACAAAAAAATTCCGACAACTCAAACGCCAGCGCCATCGCTCGGCGCTCGCCTGACGCGTCTCTATCGTCGGTGCCGCTTTGCTGTCGTCTGCAACGGGCGGCAGATCGTCTGCGCCGGTGACGCTGGTCTGCTGCTGCTCCTCCTGATGTGGCGTAGTCGTAAGGTAGCGTCGTTCATATACATTCGCTGCTTGTGAACTTCGTCTGTTTTCGCTCTAACGAAAAGATGTTTTTTCTACGCGTGCTCTATATTAAAGTAAATGGACGACGTTGTCCGGTTTGTCTGTCTTCACTCTGCAGTCCCAACGCAGTCATTGTCGGCTCCTATGTACAGTATTCCAAGCAATGCCACCGTGAGCTGTGATTTTTTTTTCACCCAATGGCCGTAATTGGATGTCGTTTTGTAGTCCAACCACTGCCTTCATGGGCTTCGTTGTTCTGTAGCTCCGCGACAGGCACCATAGGATCTGGACATATAAACAAAATATGATTGCTAAAGAGATAACAATTGTGCTATTTTGACTTAAGCTATTTGGGTTCGGAGTCCCATAGACTTCATAGAGGTTCACACCTAGAAAATGGCGCGACCATTACATAGTAACTACAGTTATTTCATGATCCATGTTATTTCGCGACTGTAGTCGTCATTTACTTTTGCAAGGTGCAATGATATTATATCCGTAACCTTTTGCGCCTTTACAAACGACCTTATACACGCACGTTACAAACAACTTAGTTCACTGAGTTCCCAAGACATGACGCCGTATCTTCGCTGAACGTTCATCAAACCAATAAAAGAAATGTATACATCCGTTCGAGAAACACGAAAACGTGACAAACTTGGAACAAACAAGCGCAAACACAAGTTGACGCTCAACATCAAGCGGTATGCATAAGCGTGTGTTTGCCGCCGAGGCTAAACGAATAGGTTACTGCCACTGATACGTTTGTCGTCCGGATTTATTTTATTCCACCCGCGTGACAATGACTTGATTTGCTCTCAAACTAGATCACGCAAGCGTCAACGTACCGGTTCTATTCGAACAGAAATAGGTTGCAATGTTCTCTTGGTCATATAGGTTCAAAAGGAATGTTATTTACTGACTGATTCGCCTTAATCTGCTTAACTGTTTCAGTGAGTGCCGGTGTGACCGAGAACACGTTACCATTTCGCGTGCAAAGATTATTGCTCTTTGTTTTTTGCTAACTGCACACAAAATATTCGGTGTTGTAGCAAGGACTGTCAGAAAACTTAGTGAAATAGAAGGGTTAAACATAAGATGCAGTGCTTTGCCAATCCATTTACTGAGAAGGCCGGATTCCAGGGAACTGATTATGTGTCTCAGTGATCTCGCTAGTTAGTTATAGACAGTAATTAATGTGTACTTGTCTCAGTTATACGAGCACGGTCATGGCAACGCTTTATAGGCACTCCTTATCTGTCATAGTTTTTAGTTTTCAAATTGTGCGAAACATCTTTCCTTAACGCGCGCCGCGGACCGAGAAAAGTTTGCTGACGCTAATGACTGGAAATTCAACTTGGACTTTCAAAACAGCAAAGAAAATGATACGCAATATAAATGACAGTTAATGACGTCATTCTACGTCGGCCATTCTCTAAATTGATGTGCGCGCGTCACAGACACACGCGCGCACGTACGCACGCATTTTTCTACTCGCGTTCACTCACCTTCAACGTAATATCAATAATAAGAACTAACAAACATCGGTGCCAAGGAAAATTATGGGGCAAATGTGAATTTATTGGGTAAGTACGTGAGTGTGAAAAATTTAAGGGGTAAATATGGGCATTTAATCCTGGGAGTGTTAGAGCCGCTAGTAGCCACGATGTCAAGCGTAGAATGCTATATATTTTTTTATTGCCTGTTAGTGTCACGGAACACGTGATGTTATTATGAGCTGGTAACCGACTGATAATCCCTCACATATTACCTGAAGACATCAAGTCGGCCAGAACAGGACCCTCGCCATGAATGAAATCCAGGTGTGAAAATTATGAGTTTTTTGTTAGACCCAATAATAATAAGAACAAATAGAGAACAATGCCAAGAGAAGTATAGAGCATGCTGTAAGTTGGCATTGTAACGTAAATGTGAAAAAAAAGTGGACGAAGAAAATATCTTTCCGCTTTTTTTTTCACAATTACATTACACTTACGGTTTAGAAAAAATTATTTACAGTATGTACAGAACACAAAGGCTCCATAACATTCCAGTAACAGGGCACATACTACTAATAGCATCTCGTATACTTTCTTTGGCGTCATTATGTATTAGTTCTCATTGCAATTGTGTCTAAAAAGCAAGCACTTCGATGTTAACGTCTTTTCTTGATTACATAGGATGATGTTATACACACAATTAAAGCGCTCACCACTGTGAAAGTAGCGTAGGAGAACTTAGGGCTACTCTTGGGCGCTTCGCCTGCACCCACACAGTCGCCTAGTGCCGTAATCACACGTATTATTGCAAGCACAAGCATCGTAACCTGCAGATTCGGCTAATGTGACGAGCCAAAAGAGAACAGGTGACATGTCGGTTAGGAGAAATCTACAACGAGGCACCCCAGTCGCTAGTTCGATCGATGCCTTTCGATGAACATGCAAATGCGTTCCCGACTTCAAAGGAACTTCTAAAGTCTGTTGGATCTGTCCGGGATATATTGAAGGCCGCTGTACGTAGTACCCAAAATAAGCCCTGTTATCTTTGACTCTGCTGTTCTTTTAATGAACAAGCAACGGCAATCTTGCTTTGCTTTCAAGTGAATCTGGCCCAGGACTCACTTCTGCTTTTTCCTATGTTCGGAAAAAGTCTTGCAAAACGTGAAACTAGTTTTAAATTCACGGTTTTGGTTGAAGTTGCGACGGATATTTATAATATTGGCACACAGCCTTGCATAAGATAAGGGCAATGAACTCCTAGAGATAAGAATGAAAACTGCTTGAGTTGGTTAATCGAAAAAGCTGATGGTATTCTTTTTTTCGAGAAGCAGGAATCATTGCAGCATTGCAGCCCCTGGCGGAGCACGTTCTAAATATGGGCTTCTTTCGGGGTGGCCTCCAGTATCATAAAACAAGGGATCCAACATTCTTGGACAACGACGCTAACATAAGAACTAGTGCGCCAGAGGACATGAGCACCGATGTGCGAGGGTCGCACTGAAAAAGAATGACTCAAGGACTATACGGTCATTTACGTTTATTTTTTTTTACGTACATATTATTATGTCGCAATAAGAGTAAGCTTTCGACTGACTTAGTGTGATTCTCCCATAGCAATGTACTGGAACAAACATTGGGGAGTGCCTGCAGAAATGACACAATAGAGAAATAAAAACGGCACTTGGTGGATTCAGAAATTTCAACCGATTTGCCTGTGACAACTGGGCAAATCAAAGGTTATATTAAAGGAAAGGTGGCGCAACACGAGAAAAAAAAGGGAAACGAGGAAAGAGGTACATAGTGTAATCTGCTGAGTCTCTATCTTTGTCACGTGCTGCGCCAGCTGGCTGTAATAATTTTTAACTATGCGCCAACTGTCCTAGCAACAGTCTTTATTCGGCAAATCAAAGGTAATCGAATGACAGCATATATAATGAACGAGTCGTTTTATGCTTGATTACCAAGCCAAATTCAAAGAGGCCTAAAACTGGGGCCTGAAACTCGTTGCCCATCACCCATTCATTAGCGGCCGGCGGTTTCACAGGGGAGAAACTCTCGTATACCTTACTGAATGCTATTTTCCTTCATTTCTCACGTTTTGCGGTTGGCAAAGCTTGTTAGCAAAGCAAATATACGCTAACGGTCCAGGTGTTATCCATAGTTCAGCCCCATGTTTATACAAGGCAGAGATACGTAGAGATGTATAAGTGGAAGTTCGGAAATCCGCCCATTGTATGGGTGTAGTCCTGCTTCTTACACCCATGTCATGGGGTGTAGGGGTGTGAGCTATAGACACTATATTACAACTAACTATACGGGAGTAATTTAGTTTACAGGGTATGAACGCTGAAATTACGGGGAGCGGTGCAGTCAGAGATGACATCCGCCCCTCTGCTTGTCCTACTTAAATTTTATGTCTTCACCACCTTGCATATCCTCTTCGAGCAAAGGTAGTCATAGCAGTATTTCAGGTGCAAATACAAAGCTAAATAAGAATACACTAATTTCGTGTGTCCGTGCTGGCGCGGCCTACTCGCAGAATGACTACCTACAAACAGGCCCCGATTTCTCTTATGCTATAGACAAAACACGACGCATGTATTTACTGCAAATTTTCCCCAAACACCCATCCCTTCACATGTCGTCGTCATTTCCACACCCCTCCCCCTTGCCTCACTTGAAACCTATAGTAATGGTATCATACGCTAGCCCAGGGTGTCGTGCAGCGTTCGCTGCACTGCACGAATCAAGAGATGCGGAGCGCAGCGATGACGTCCGACAGAAAGCGCTGGCAGGGAGTGTGTCACGGGTCAAGGCGATTAACGATTAACACGCACTCCACAACCACCACTCACGCCCGGGTATTTTGGCTGATGTACTTTCTGACGCTGAAGCCCGCACTGTGGGAAGAGGGGACAGAATAAGCCGGTTCCTATGCGATGCACGCCGTGTCGTCGAACTTAGTGCGGCTTGTACACGCGTGATAACTCGAGGCGAGGCAGGGAATTATTATAGCGGGATTTCGGAAAATGTTCACTATCTCATCTTCCCTGGATCTGTTTGGACAGTCCAGTGCGCAGGTAGTCGTCGCTGTGGTCACGTATGCACGCGTACTAGTTCCGCCAGTGCTGTGAGCAGCACTATGGCGGCGCCTTTTCCCGCATAAAGCTTGAATGCAGATGTAAGCGCGATTTTCGCTCGCACTGTGACCGCGCCGCGCGTCTGAAACT